TCCTTCCTTCCTTCCTTCCTTCTTCCTTCCTAGTGCTGGGATTAAAGGTGTGCGCCGCCGCCGCCACCGCCCGGCCTCATTTCTTTTTATTATTGCTGTATCACTCCCCAATATGTTGCTGCTCTTTTTCTAGGAAATTATAATAATATTATTATTTTTTATTTTATAATTTGATTTAAATATACATATCAGCCATGGATTCCCCTGTCTTCCCTCCTTCCAGCCCTCCTCCCAGTCCACCCCCCATTCCCATCTCCTCCAGAGCAAGGACTCCCCATTATTTTTATAGTTAAGAGTACTCTATGACATAATTACTTTTAATACTGAAGAATCTTTCTTTCATCACCCTGTATTAAATTATAGCTAACTTGTGCTATCTTCCAGGTTATAATTTCTTTTGTAAGAAGACTTGTGACATGTCTGTTCTTTTCCAGTGAGATTTTTTTTTCTAATCATTGTTATTTTCTTAAAGGCAAATGTTCTCCAGTTATCCAACCACCACTGTGCTTCCTACACGTCGTGCACAGACTCCTCCAATATCATCATTACCAACCTCTCCTTCAGATGAAGTAGGAAGGAGGCAAAGTTTAACTTCTCCTGATTCCCAGTCTACAAGGCCAGCTAACCGCACAGGTGAACTTGCTGTCATGTACCGCAGTACCCAAACCTCTTTGCACTCTAGCTATGTGGACTTTGTTATATAATCATCGTGTTTTTTTCTTAATTGAAGATTAAAAAGTGATTTAATGAATGAAAACTATACTTTCAAACTGAGTGCCTTCTATGTTTTGAATTGTAGATTGAATTATGGCTTTTTGGAGAGAAGTAACATGCATATCAATCACACATGCCCTTCTTTCCTTATGAACCAATGTTCAACTAAATGTCTTTCTAATCATAACTTCATCCATAACCCACACAATTGTAATATATCACAAGGAAGCATCAGAGAAATCCAAATTGAAGGGCTTTATACAAAATGACTAGGCAATTTTTCATGTATCACAGTGGTTGGCCAGCAACTCAGGACGCTGAGGCAGAAGGATCACAAGTTCAAAATCAGCCTGAACAACTTAGTGAGGCCTTGTCTCAGAATAAAAAGTAAAAACAGAGTGGGAGAGTGCTTGCCTAGCATGTTTGAGGCCCTGAGTTTGATCTCCAGTACTAACAGAGGAAAACTAAGGAGATTAAGGAGACCAAAGGAACTTGACAACCAGATAAAATGCACAGATGATCCTGGATCCTTTGCTATGAAGAACATTATCAGCATATGTAGTGAAACTAGCATGGGAGCTGGATTAAATGATGACACTCCTAATTGCCAAACTCTGTCTGTAGTTGTAGGACTTACCTGTTAACATTCAGAGGAGATAGAATAGCTGCTTCACTGTTCATTCTGCAGTAGTTCAGGAGAGAAAGATTCCTTTGTGCTCTTCTTGCAAAGTTTTGTATATTTTAATTTTTATCACTAGCAGATTTATTTATCTGTGCAACAGCCCTATATTGCCATGAGAAATTTAGCTGTATTTGCATTTTTTAAATAGACAAGTAAACAATCAATAAAAAAAAAAACAACAAAAAACCCAAAACCCCTCTATTGGGCTTGCCTCAAAATCATGATCCTTGTGCCTCAGCCCCTTGAGTGCTGGGATTGCTGACATGTAACTCGATACCCAGTTTAATTTACCATATTTTAGTAGTAAAATTGTGTTGAGTTTGAATAATTCTGGGAAGCTGAAGTCCCATGTTACTGTGTGTGCACTTTGCTTATGGTGTGTAGTAGTCGAGCCCACTTTGCTCTTTCCTTTGCTTCAGCCTTGTCAGACCCCAGCAGCAGACTTTCCACCTCTCCTCCTCCCCCAGCAATTGCAGTCCCTTTGCTGGAAATGGGCTTCTCTCTCCGACAGATTGCCAAAGCCATGGAAGCTACAGGTAAGATATGTTTTATAGTTCATTATCGGTAGATCCGACAAGTCTCAAATGTTTTTGAAGGAAGCATTTTTTAAGAGGTCATAAATGTTAAGATTTTTTAAAAAGACATTTTTATGTGTGAGTGTGTGTGTACATATGTGAATGCAGGTGCCTACTGAGGCCAGAAAAGGGTATTGGATCCCCTGGACCTAGAGTACAGTTGGTTGTGAGATACGTGACATGGGTATTGGGAATGGAACTTGGATCCTCTGAAAGAGCAGCAAGTGCTCTTAAGTGCTGAGTCATTTCTCTAGCCCCTCTTCTTAAGATTTTAAATAGCAGATCTATTATAAAATCATCAGGACAGACACTCTTAAACTAATAACGTAAGTCATTGATTACTTTATCCATATTCAGTATCAGACATTGCCTCTGCCTGTATAGGTGCTCGAGGAGAAGCTGATGCCCAGAATATCACTGTTCTTGCTATGTGGATGATTGAGCACCCTGGGCATGAGGATGAAGAGGAGCCCCAGCCAAGCAGCACAGCAGACTCCAGACATGGAACAACAGTTCTGGGAAGTGGTGGGAAGTCAAATGATCCCTGTTATTTGCAGTCACCAGGAGACATACCATCAGCTGATGCTGCTGAAATGGAGGAAGGCTTTAGTGAAAGGTAAAATCCTAGTTTTTTTATTTCTGTCTCTTGTATCCTAAGTAGTTCCTCTAAAGCTCCATTTCTATCCCTTCATAAATGCTTCTACTGCTGTATAAATTTAATAAGAATATGAAAAGATTGGCATGTTAGTTATAAGCTAATGGATTTTTTTAACATTATAAATTATTTAATTGGCTGAAAAGTACTTCAGTGCTAGAGTACTTTCATAGGATGTACAGACTCCTGAGTTCTGTTCTTAGCACTGCCAAAATACCAACTGATTTAATTAATGAATTTGATAAAAATAGACTTTTCTGTCTCATTTTAATTGAATTCATATTTCCATTTATTCTAAAGTTTTCTTCAGTGCTGGGAATTGAATCCAAAGTTATATACCTAGTAGACAAATATTCTAACACTGAGATATATAGGTATATTCCCAGTTCCTGTAGTTTTTACTATCTAGTATTTTATGTTTCTTTTTTTTTAGCTGTGAAAAGATTTCTGAAGTATATATACCCTATAATGAGATATAATAAAATATTCTAAATTCTCCTCACAGTCATTTCCTTTTACATTTCTTATGACTATATTTTTTTATTTTTTATGTTTATAAATACTTTGCCTGCATATGTGTTTGTGCACCACATTTGTGCCTGTTGCCTATAGAAGCTAGAAGTGGGTAGCAGATCCCCTGGAACTGGAATTACAGACATTCATGAGCCGCAAATGTGGGTTCTAAGACTCGAACCTGTGTCCTTTGGAAGAGCAGCCACTGCTCTTAATCACTGAGCTATTTCTCCAGTACCCCTTCTTAATTTTTTATTTTTTTTATTTTTTTTAATCATTTAACTATCAGGTTCTGTATCAAGGCTTATGTCTTATGTAAACTGCAAACTTTTTCTAATAAGTTCCATGAATATCTTCATAATTTAATTTGAAGTATATTTCCCCTAGACACAGATTCTCAGTCATTTCAGTTAAGTATTTAATTGTTTAGCATTTAGTTGTTTAGCATTTAGTTTGAAGTTATTTTCTCTTTTGCTGTGGGGTTTGGAATGACACTCCAGGCTTCACACTCTAGGCAAAGCTCTCCTACTAGCCACATATCCATTTCTGATCCTGTTTGATTTTGGACATGAGTTAAGCATCATGTTACTGTTGGCAGAATCCAAAAATCAGATAAAATGAATGCCCAAGAAGCAGTGTATGACAAACCTAAAACTAAAGAGTTTCACAAAGGTCAAAAGATGTTTCAAAGTTTTGTCGTAGGCTGAGGGGATAGCTCAGTGGTAGATGCTTAGTATGCAGGAGACACTGGGTTTAATCCCCAGCAACTCTCCACCAAAAACACTTTATGCTAATCATGTCCATTTCCTCGTTTGATACTGTGAGTATTAAAAAATTAACAGGATGTTTTTATAGCCAAAGTCATTGAGAACGACAAAGCAAACAAGCAAAAAAAATTATAAATATATTATGATATTCTGTTTTATGATATTCTATTATGATGGTATGTCTTAATTTTAATTAAAAAGTTAATTTCATAAAAACCAGTTTAGGAGTTGTTAACTCAGTTGGTAAGTACCTGCAACCTGAGTTTGCTTCTCAGAACCTCTTTAAACAATCCCAGATATGTCCAGTTGTGGTAGTACATGTTTATAATCCCCGCAGAAGGAGGTGGATCTCTGAATTCAAGGCCAGCTTGGTCTCTATATAGTGATTTCCAGGCTAGCAGAGTGCATAGTGAGACCCTGTCTCAAAACACACACCCACACCCAAACCCACAACCACCACAACCACCACCACCACCACCAAACCACCATCATCTATATAGGTAGAAATGAGTGGAGCCACAGGACTCTAGCCAGTCAGCCAGCCTAGCCTCCTTGGATAGTTACAGGGCAGTAAGAGACCCTGTCTCAGTGGGGGAAAATAAAGGTAGTACCTAAGAAACAACCCCACACATATTCTCACAGACATTCATTTGTACCTGCACATACGTGTGCACCTACACACACACACACACACACACACACACGCACGCACGCACGCACGCACGCACGCACGCACGCACGCACATGCATGCGTGCACAAACTATTTTATTCTCAGTGATATTTGGAGAAAAAGGTAATGCCACAGGGAAGCTTGTATTTTTGCTTTCTTTTAATGAGAGCATTAAAAAAATTGCATTCCCTTCAAACTTGCTTTTGTAGCCCTGATAATCTGGATCATACAGAGAATGCAGCTTCTGGAAGTGGACCACCAGCTAGAGGCCGATCAACAGTAACAAGAAGGCACAAGTTTGACTTAGCAGCTCGCACATTGCTTGCAAGAGCAGGTAATTATTTTCCACATCCCTCTCTTGGTAAAAGATCTCATTTAAAATTGGTTATAGATGCAGCAGTAAAGAAGATACAAACTAAAGAATAAGTGAACTCATTGCTACTACTAAGTGGATCAGCTCTTTGCATATAATTTTGTACACTATATAATTTCACTTACAATCACAGCATGTATTCATAAGTTTATCTTTAAGCTGCCTCTAGAGATAGAAGGCTATTGTGGTCACTTGTAGATTTTGAAAGATTTTGTAGCTGTTCTCTCTGCCTTTAGTCAGTTACAATTTGAGAAGTGATGGTACTTAATGGTTAGCATCAGTGGTGAAAAGTTCCTGGGAGGGGCACTGTACCACTCAAAAGTAGGCACTGTTTTTCTGCTGTACTCTGGACTTTAGAGCCTCACCACTATGGTCCTAGGTAAGGAAGTATAAGTTCTCTCAGTACATTCTTAAATTCTAGAATTGTTTTGGGGACATGGCAATGTATTGTCTTTTTGTTTTATGTTTTTTATGATACTGGTGATTAAACCTCACACATTTTGGGTAAATACTCCACCACTGAGCTGTATTGCTATTTCATTATTTCATCATCATCATCATTACCATCACCATCACCATCACAGTGCTGGGGACCACACCCAGGGCCTTATGAATGCTAGGCAAGTACTCTACCACTAAGCTATATTCCTAGCCACAAGGAAATATATTTTCCAAACTAGAAACCACATTATTCATTGTTAAAAAAAGAATTTTATTATTAAAATATTAAAACGTAAGTGATGATTCAATATTTTATGAGAACCATGAGAAAGAAATTTGAGACTTGCCAAGAAAATATAAGCTATGCATTTACCATAAAATGAAGAGAAGCTGAGTTTTAACAAGTAAACCTACAAGAGTAATAACAGCTGACATTTATAACATAAATAAATAATATTTGTAACATAAATAACAATATAACATCTTAAAATTTTTTGTCTGTAGTATCTTATTTAAACTTATCAGTAAGTAGTCTGAGAGATAGAATATTTTATAGATGAGGAAGCGTGTGATAGTTGTAATGTGAGGTATATGACCTGGAATCCAAAGAAGTAGCTGAGGTAAGTTCTCTCCTACATGTGTGGCAATTAAGAACTGGCAAAATATTCAAGATTATTTTATTCATGCAAATAAAATGCTTCTTTTGTTTTGTTCTGAGCGGGGTTATACCGCTCTGTGCAGGCTCACAGGAATCAAAGTCGGAGAGAAGGAATATCTTTGCAGCAAGACCCAGGGGCGTTGTATGACTTTAATTTAGATGAGGAATTGGAAATTGATCTTGATGATGAAGCAATGGAAGCTATGTTTGGACAAGACCTGACCAGTGACAATGATATTCTGGGAATGTGGATCCCAGAGGTACTGGATTGGCCTACCTGGGTGTGTGTGACTGCAGCGGGGGCTGCTCTGACTTATTTTCCTGCCCTCCTGTTCATACAGCTTACTAACAGCGGCCTTGCATAGAGTTGAAAAAGCCTTACATCTCATCCTGAGGTTTGGGATTTAATGCTTGAGCATTGCTTTGATACCTCAAACTGATAAGAAAGTCTCTCGTTGCTTTCTCTGTGTGATTTATTGCTTCTCTCCCCAGACTAGATGACTAGAGCCATACTATGGTAATGTTTCATTGTAACTTCAAAACTTGACATTAGGCCCTAGTACATACTGCTGAGTTACCTAACATGGTTGCTTTAATCACATTCCTATCTGCGTGCATGCTCCTCTTCTTCATAGATTCTGTTTGATCAGTGTAAGGACTTATTTGGGGGACAGTGCCTGCCCACATCTTATAATACCCTTCAGTCAGGGCAAGGTTCATGTGGGTTTATGTGTATACATTGTTTAGCATTACATTTTTATAGTAGGGAGACTAAAAAGCTCATAGGTGTGGGCTGTTATCTACTTGATTAGGTTAATAACATAAATTAATTACAATAGTATATCTTAGAAATTCAGAAAATAGGTCTTATTTTATGGCCAGGTAAAAAGTATTTTCACTGGAGAGTTTTGTTGTTTTTAATGGTTTGAGGTAGATTTAAATTACTGAATTCTTATTTTCAATAGAATAATCTTAATGTTATAGCTTAAGCTAATAAAAAGAGGAAAGAATACCTTCAGATTGTGTGATCTGATTTCTTATTGAAAGAAAATTATGTAGCATTAATGAATATCTTTGCACTATTATAGGATATTTAAAAGTAGCTAGTTTAATATCACAAATACTCTACCTCTAATGCTAAATTGACTATAATTTGCTATAAAATCATTTTGTGCAGCATGTTTGTGAGTCTGAAGACAGGGAAGAAGTGGTGGTGTGTGAATTGTGTGAATGCAACGTCGTCAGCTTCAATCAGCACATGAAGAGAAACCACCCTGGCTGTGGGCGCAGTGCAAACCGCCAAGGTTACAGAAGCAATGGCTCCTATGTGGATGGCTGGTTTGGTGGTGAATGTGGGAGTGGAAATCCATACTACCTGCTGTGTGGCAGCTGCAGGGAGAAGTACTTAGCGCTGAAGACCAAAACCAAGACTACAAATTCTGAAAGGTACCTTGAAATTGTGTTGTAGATGCCAGCCTCTTGAATGAGAACATTTCATTCTGTTAAGACACAGGGACTGTTTTTGTTTTCCCCCTTCATTGTAAAGAATTAGTTTCGACTGAATTGGAGGCAGAACTTACGGAGGTCAAGGAATTCCTAGCAGATCTGGGAGTTGTTTTTGGTCTCCTTGGACTGCAGGCATAGTGGCATAGCAGCAGGCCTTTCATGGCAGTTGGACTGTGTTAACCATTAGCATCTTGGCAGGTTGCGGTCAGGGTCCTCATCTTAACCCTCCAAAGCGTAGGGTCAAGATTCAAATTGACATTTTCCAGCATATTTCTGACATCTTAACTAAGATGTATTTTTTTTATGTAAAAATATACTGCTCTGTTTAAATGAGCTTCTATGAAAAAAAAAGACTCATATACTTTATATACATAACTTCTAGTTCTGCAGCTTTTAAACCTGACACTTCCTAGGACAGTTTGATTAAAAGAGTTATTGAAGGTGACCAGAAATGTCCCCAGTTTTTTTTTTTTTTTTTTGGTTTGTTTTTTGTAAAGCAGCCATTGATCTGTAAGCATGTGTGTACATACAGCAGTTTTTACTTTATTTGTCCCATAACACAAGACACTTTTACTTTTTGCTGCTTTATTAATGAGCTCTTACAATATTCTAATGACTTAATTTGCATTTGGGTACTAACTTTTATATAAAAACACAATGTTCTTCATGTTTGGTGCAGGTACAAGGGACAAGCTCCAGATCTAATTGGCAAGCAGGACAGTGTGTATGAAGGTAGTTGTTTGTTTTGAGAGCTTCCTTATTTTACATGTATTTTTATGTATAGTCCTTGTTTAACATCTGCTACTAAACTTTACCATCATGTGTGTTTGTGTTTGTGTACATATTAACTAGAGCTTTCCCTAAGTGTATCTGAGGTTGCTTGATAACAACATTCCACACTTGAGAGTCACAAGAGAGAGAACCCAAGCTCAAATGTCAGCTTTACTTAGGGTGGTAATTTGTTTGTAGTTTGATTTTTTTTTTTTCCCAGAATAGGAAAAAAAATGTAACATTTTAAAGTTTTTCCATCCTAATTGTGGGAAAAAAAAACATTGAGATGAGTGCTGTTTGTGTTTTTGGAGCACTCATTTGCTCGAATGTTTATTAGCTAAACCATCTATGATTAGTTCAGAATTTGCTGTTGCTTTCCATGGATTTGATTCCACTTCCTTTTCCAGTAGTCTCACATGCCTCAGGAATACAGTTTGCTCAGATCTCCAGGAGATGGTGCCATAGTTCATTTTGTAGGCCTTGGATTTTGACTCCAACATTTTAGATGATTTTAATGTATCTTAAAACAACTACTGTTAGCAGAACTATGCCATGTTTATATTCACATGCTATATATTTATTTAAATTCCAGAAGATTGGGACATGTTAGATATTGATGAAGATGAAAAATTAACAGGTGAAGAAGAATTTGAATTGCTTGCTGGACCACTTGGTTTAAATGACCGGCGCATTGTGCCAGAACCAGTTCAGTTCCCTGACAGTGATCCACTGGGAGCATCAGTAGCAATGGTCACAGCTACCAACAGTATGGAAGAGACTCTGATGCAAATTGGTGAGCTGAAAGGCTGATTGTCATCAATTTTGTTGTCTGTTTTAATATTTTTCTTAGGTAAATAGTGAAAATAATGATTTATCCCATTTCACACCACCAAGTCTCCTTAGCAATTAGTTGGAGGAGGGATACTGAGTGAAGGCCAGAGGTTTGACGTGAGTTTTTTTTTCCCTGTATTGTTTTCCACCAATAGGGTCTTTCACTGCACCTGATTGGAGCTCTTTGATTTGACTAGACTGGCCAAATTCACATGTAGGTGCACCCCCTACACACACAGCAAAATTTTTAAATTGTCACTATTAATGACTTAGCTCTTTATGTGTACTCAAAGTGTATCTTATTTATATCTTTCTTGGTCTGGAGAGATGGATTGTGGTTCAGCATTTGCTGCTCTTGTAAGATGACCTGAGTTCTGCTCCCAGCTTCCACATGGCTGCTCACAAATGTCTGTAACTTCAGTTCCAGGAGATTTGATGCCTTCTTCTGGCTTCCTTGGACACTGCACATACACACAGTGCACATACATACATGAAGTCAAAATACTTATACACATAAAATAAAAACAAATAAAATAGTTAAAAAAAAAAACTATGCCTTTCCCATATCTGTTCATATCAGAAGTGACACATAAAAAGAATGAAGAAAAACAAACATGTATTTAATGGAAATTTTCTTCAATTAATTCAGAAATCTCTACATTTAATATCTTCGAGAATTTCTGCTAGTTCTATCTAGGTGAGCAAAACACATTGTCTTGCTATATTTCTTTGCAGACTAGAACCTATGTAAAACAAGGTAGAATTCAGTAGTCCAGGTGCTTTATCTCATTTTGTAAAGAACTGAACACAGTCCTGCTTTCAGGTTGCCATGGCTCCGTGGAAAAGAGTTCCTCTGGAAGAGTGACACTAGGAGAGCAGGCAGCAGCCCTCGCAAACCCTCACGACCGGGTGGTGGCTTTAAAGAGAGTGACCGCTGCAGCTCAAGTCCTTCTGGCCAGAACCATGGTCATGCGAGCACTGTCTCTCCTCTCAGTCAGGTAAGTGGTGTGTCAAGTGATGCAGTTAGCTTCTGAGGTACTACTTCACACAGGAGCGTGGTCGGGGATAGGAGAGAGTTCCCAAAACTTGAAAATATGTTGTTGAATGAACGTAGGTTAGACTTAGTCATTATTGTTATTTATTCAGTTGATGCTTGGCTCTTCTTAGGTTGGAAGAATACCAATTTAGTGCCAGAGTCAGTTGCTTATCTTTTTTGTTGCTCTTCCGGAAATTGGAAACTGAGCTGTTCCAGTTGATACTAGGTAAAAATTACAGAGTGAATGAGTGTTTCTGCAGAACTCACACTATATAAAGATTAAAAATAGACATCTAATGTATAGACCTTAGGCAGTGGTTACTTTAAGGCACAGTGGCTTCAAGGAGCCCCTAGCAAGCTTCTGATGTGCTGCTAGAGTTCTGTCTCTTGACCTAGAGGGTGGCTACACGGGGATTTCCAGACTGAAAGTTCAGGCTCTGTGAACATTCCTAATGTCATATTCTAGTTTAGTGATAACTCTCAATGCATACAATATTCATTATAAAGGAAAAGTTTAGATGACCATTTCAGTTTTATATCATGTTTTGAAATAAGGACATTTTTGTGACTAATGATGGCATAGCTTTTGTTTGATTTTTGTTTTTGATGAGGAAGGTGTATGTATGTGGGGTGCAAACTGTCCCTTAAGAAACCTATTTTCTCTGTTTATCTGAAGTGCTTTCTTTTCCTGGCAGTGGTTCCAGTTGTAGCCTGGCTGCCGGTCTTGAGTCTCTGGGGTTAACAGATATCCGTACGCTGGTTCGGTTAATGTGCTTAGCTGCAGCAGGGAGAGCTGGCCTTTCCACCAGCCCTTCTGCCATGGCAAGTACCTCAGAACGTTCACGAGGTGGGCACAGCAAGGCCAGCAAGCCCATTTCTTGCCTGGCCTACCTGAGCACAGCAGTGGGCTGCCTGGCCTCGAACACTCCAAGTGCTGCCAAGCTGCTGGTACAGCTGTGTACACAGGTAAGGCAGCTTTGGGCAGTCTTGACACTGAAATTAAATCTGTGTGTCCAAATAGGTCAAAACTAAACTCTCTGTCCCAATTGCCTCTTCAGAACTTGATTTCTGCTGCAACAGGTGTCAATCTCACCACAGTGGATGATCCAATTCAGCGGAAGTTTCTACCCAGCTTTCTCCGTGGAATTGCCGAAGAAAACAAGCTTGTAACCTCCCCAAACTTTGTTGTCACGCAAGCCCTTGTGGCGTTATTGGCAGACAAAGGGGCCAAACTGAGACCTAACTATGATAAGTCAGAAGTAGAAAAGAAAGGTGGGTGTCATATAGTTTGAGTACAGTCTTCTAATTGACGTGACTCATGTTTTAAGAGGTGTCGTTTTTGCAGTTGTCATCTGTGTTAAAGGACATTTAAGTTTAGAACATAAAAGAATTTCAGAGATAGCTTTGGTATTTGAGGTCTAACTGTGTAGTCCCAAGTTGGCCTCACCCCTGCAATCTTCTTACCTGGGCCTCTTGGATGCTGGGACTTACAGGCTTACTCAGACCAAGAAATGAGTATTAGAAAAATGGACCAGTTCGTGTGGTTATAGGTAATGGCTTGAATCAACATAAATGGTCGTGTTCTTTAATACAATTTAAATAAAGACAGTATTGAAGATAACACTTTGAAAGGACTACTTAAATTGCTATTTTACCTTTGCTTCAATCAGGAACATTTAGCTGAGATTGGTGGACTTTGGGATCCACTGATCTAGTTCCTTGACTAGCTATTTAGATCCATTTTAAAAGATGGCTCATGTATTTGGTGCTGAGTATTAGAACCCAGAGCCTTGTCCGTTCTGATCATGTGCTCCATCACTGAGGTAGAACCCTGGTTATGTCCCTGCTGAGGTGCTCTGTAAGCACAGGCACTAGGTTGTTGGTCTTAAGGGCCCATTGCCTTTGCATAAGCCAGAGAATGATTTCTGCTGTATTCCCAGTCTAAGTTTTTAGAGCAAGCACTATTTATTGGTATATAATGAAGTAGTCATTTGAAGTGAGTCAGACTTATTATAGAATTTGGTGTGAGATAAATATGTTATATCTTATACGCATACCTTAGTAAAATAATTACTTAAAAAGCGCTAATTTATAAAGAAATGGGTTAACCCATTTTTGTTTGTTCCTCACCACCAGCTCTCACCTGGGCATCATGTCATTGTTTTGTTTAAGCAGGTTTTATTGCCCAATTGTATGCCCATCCTTCCTATGATCCTTCTGCTGTAGGCCCTCTGGAGCTGGCCAATGCCCTGGCAGCCTGCTGCCTCTCCTCTAGGCTGTCCTCACAGCATAGGCAATGGGCTGCTCAACAACTTGTGCGCACTCTTGCTGCACATGACCGTGACAACCAGACTGCTCCACAAACACTCGCTGATATGGGAGGAGATCTCAGAAAATGCTCTTTTATCAAGTTGGAGGCTCATCAAAACAGAGTATGTATTTTGAATATAAGGTGTGTTAATTACCTGTATAACTGCTCAGAGTGTAAGTCTCAATGTCTCTCTTTTGTGTCTCCTTTTCTCACACACATACACACGATTACCAAGATTTGCCTAAGTAGTTGCCAGTTCTAGTTTCTTTGTGTGTGGGTTGACAGAAAGAAATCACTTCCTAAAAAATGAAGGCTTATCTATGCAACAAGGAACATTGCTATTCTATTGTAGCTGACTGATCTAGTGGGCCTCTAAATTTTTAAGAAGCAAGTACTGAAATGTATTAATTGATTTAAAAATCACTATAGAGTCTGTGTTACTTTTAGAATATATATTTTAAAAAAAAATTTTAATGTGGTGCGTAGAAGAGTAAAGGGGGTATGTGCATGTACCCATGGAGACCAGAGTCATTGACTGCCCCTGGACCTAGAGTTGCAGGTGGTTGTGAATTGCCCAGTGTGGGAACTGGGAACCAAACTTGGGTCCTCTGTAAAAGTAGTACAGGCCTGTAGCCACTGAACCATCTTCAGTCCCATAGGAAGTCCACACTAACATCAGTGCCATTGGAAGGGATATGAGAAATGTGTGTGGCAGCTTGCTCTGCCTCTTAAAGTCATTCCTTCTCAGCATGTTATAATGTTTATCTTTATTGAATTAAACATTTAGTTAGGATTTTAATAGGGAGCCTTTAAGGTATGGCTCATTGGGTAATGTTTACCATCCAAGCCGGATGACCCAAGGGAAACCAATACTATAGGAGAGAACTGACTCCCCAAAATGTGACTGCCACTGGGCATAGGTGTTCTCCCCCCATTCATACATATAGATGTGGTAATTAATAAAATAAAAGTGTATAAAAAGATCTTAATAGATCTCAAATAATTTGAAGGAGTTTGGGCCTAGTACTTTAAAGCTGTACTTCAAATAAGTATTTTACAAGGCATTTAGAAAATGAAACCATATATATTGGATTACACCATGGATATTTTTACAGTTTCATGGTAGATAGCTTTTTTATAGAACTTCAAATGATGAAGTCCTTTAAATCAAAACTTGACTTGGCTTATCTATCTTCACTTTTCTAGGTAATGACATGTGTTTGGTGTAATAAAAAAGGCCTGCTGGCTACAAGTGGCAACGATGGCACTATTCGGGTGTGGAATGTCACCAAGAAGCAGTACTCACTGCAACAGACCTGTGTATTCAATAGACTGTAAGTGCTTGTTCTGCTGGCGTAAAGCTGAGTCAGTCTTTAGCATGCCTCACCTTGGTTATGTTAGCATAGTCCATTCTCATTAAAACTTGAAAGGTTTTTCTCTTAGGATAGTATTTCTAAATCTCCAGAGTGTATGTTTAGGCTTATTAAAAATCTGAACAGGGCCTACTAGCAAATACATGTTTAGTTAGATAGTACAGTACAGTATATTAATTTTCATCAGTCTTCAGTGGTTATTTGGGAATTAGAGGAATTGTTTTGTATCAGCATGTTGCATTCTTATAGTATTGTAACTAGATGTAGTTATTTCTTTTATGTTTTTAAATTGATTTAAAAGTTTTCAAATAAAAAAAAAATCACACATTGAAATTAACCAAGCTCAAAGTCTGTGTATCACATTGGACTTTTGTATAGTCAGAACAGCCACTTAGAACAGCAGCTATGAAGCATTGCACTGGATTTTACTGGCACTATTTAATATATTTTTATGTGCTTATCTACCACAAAGAATGGAAACTCCACGACAGATTTCAAACTAAAACACATTTGATTTATATACGTCTTTGTAACTCATGTCCATTACTCACATTTAGTCCTTCCTCATCTCCTAATGTTTAACCCTTTTGTTCTCTTTTCTACAGATTGTATTATACCCACATGTACATTTGTTTGCATGTATTAGATTGGCCAGATTCCCACATATAAAAGAGGTCTTATGGTTTTTTTTCTTTCTGAGATTGTGTGATCTCACTTGATATTATACATTCTAAATCCATTCATTTTCCTAAAAATTTTGTGATTAAATTTTTATGTGGAACTGAATATTATTCTATTTTTTATAGACACCAGATTTTCATTATCCATTCATCTGTTGATAGACAACTAGATTACTTCCAATTATGTTACAGTAAAAACAAACACAAACCATAGCAATAAATATGTGAGTACAAATGTTCCAATGATAGAGTATGGAGTTCTCAGTGTATATGCCCAGGAGTGAAGTAGCTGAACCATATGGTAGTTCTGTTTTTAATTTTTGAGAACTCTCCAAACTAGTTTTCACAATGGCTGTTTGAATTGGCATCACAACCAACGGTGAATTTGGTGAAGTTCCTTTCTCTCCATGGGATTCCTTTCCTGAAACCTTCTGTATAAATTAGGCATACAAAAATCAGTGTATTCTGAATACTACCTGTTTACAACTCATAACAATTTTGAATATCTTTACTGGCAAATTCTGTCATAATTATGAGTAGTTGAAGCATCATTCTTTCATAATTGACATCTTCTCTGTGATGATAAATACTGCTGATTAAGAATATCCTATGATAACTAGCCTGTATGTACCCTTTGCTTTAAGGTTTGAAATTTAGCTTACTAAATTTAAAAATGGGGATAGAAATTACACACTCATCTGTTTCATTTTAGGGAAGGGGATGCTGAGGAAAGCCTTGGATCACCCAGCGACCCAAGCTTCTCACCGGTTTCCTGGAGTATCAGTGGCAAATACCTTGCTGGGGCTTTGGAAAAGATGGTGAACATCTGGCAAGTAAATGGTAAGAGTCCTGAGACTACTGCAGTGGATGCAACTCAGCATCCTCTCACTGAGGCTTGGAGGTCAAGCAGTGGCTTGGCTTCTCTTTACCTGGAAATCTATGAGCTGTTCAACAGCTATGAGAATCCTGCACAGGATGCACTTCCTGGAAGTTTCAGATACCTACTGTTATAAACCAAAGCTTCTTTTAATGCAGCAGTAAGCAGGCTTTGAGGAGAGGTAGTAGTTGCGAGGCTGTAAGCTATATAATGTTCAGTCACTTGAAATAGCTCATTTATGTTTCTTTCAGAGGTAAATTTTTGTTTTTGTTTTGTTTTCAAGACAGGTTTTCTCTGTGTAACAGTCCTGGCTGTCCTGCAACTTGCTTTGTAGACCAGGCTGGCCTCAAACTCAGAGATCTGCCTGCCTCTGCCTCCCAGTGCTGGGATTAAAGGCGTGCACACCATACTGGGCAGAGATAAACATTTTTATTAGGCTTTTTTACATTTATTTATGTGCGTTTACACATATGTCATGGTGCGTGTATGGACAACTTGAAGAAGTTTTCTCCTACCATGTGGATCCCAGGGATTGAATTTAGGTCATTAGGCTTAACAGCAAGTGCCTTTTCCCATTAAGCCATCTCAGTCTCCCTGTCAGTTTTTATTGTGTTTCTCTGGGAAATCCAAAAATACTGTTGTAATTATAGACTTACTAGTAGTATTTGTTTAGTTTTACGTGTTTAAGAAATGGCTGTTGTCATTCACATAGTTGAGGAGTAGCTAGCTAATCTTAGCTGTAGGCAAATTATTCATATCAGTTGGGTTTTCAGTAGTTATGAGGAGTCATTGAGCATTATGGTCCATGGAATTTCAGTACTTGGGAGACAGAGGCAGGAGGATTGCTGAGAGTTGGGGGTCAGTCTGGGCTACATGATGAGGCCTATGTCAAAAACAAATAAACCAGAATGTAGATGTAACTGCCTTGTTAAATAAGAAACACAGAGCCAAATACAGAGTTAAAAGCCAAGAGGTCAGAGCAATAGCTAAGAGCTGAGATTAAAAACCTTACCCTTCAATGCCGCTGCTGTCCTACCTCTCCGCAAGAGAACTACTTCCTGTGTGTTTGTGCTTTTTATTGACTTTCTGTTCTGCCTTCTCATTGGTTATAAACCCAACCACATGACCTCCTCATCACTGCCCATCTATACGGACCTCCAGGTCTTCTGTGGTTGGTATTGAGATTAAAGGTGTGTGTCTCCATGCTGGCTGTGTCCTTGAACACACAGAGATCTGCCTAGCTCTGCCTCCCAAGTGCTGGGATTAAAGGTGTGCGCCACCACCGTCCAGCTTCTGCTATGGCTTGCTATTAGCTCTGACCTCTTAGATTTTAACTCTGTATTTGGCTCTGTGTTTCTTATTTAACAAGACGGTTACATCTACACCAGAAGCAGAAGTGTCTTGTGATGCTGCTTCAGCCTCCTCCCACTGTCCTTGGAAAGGAACATGTGCCACTTTGCTAGCAAGAGAAAAGCACTTAAGTGCTTGCCATTTGCTACTACATCTGTTCCTTGATTCTGTCTTCTGTAGAAGTACTTTGTTCTATACATAGTTGTGCAAAATACTTGGCTTGAATGATATATAAGACATGAGTAAAAAAATCTTGTTTTCACAGACGTTTAGATTCATAGGCTGTTGTAAATTGGAGACTGCATGGGTGTATTAACTAATAAGTATTTTTTTCTTGGTTTTTTTTTTTTTGAAATTTTTATTTATTTTTGGAGACAGGTTCTTGCTGTCTATATATTTGTATATATAGTTATTTAACATATATATATATATATATATATATATAAAGAGATCTATATAGAGAGGGATCTCTCTCATATATATGTACACACACACACACACACACACACACACACACACACACACACCCCTCTTCATTGCTGGGATTAGAGATGTGTGCCGCCACACTTGCTCTTTTTTTAAGAGTTAAATAGGGGGCTGGAGAGATGGCTTAGTGGTTAAAAGCACTGACTGCTCTTCCAGAGGACCCAGGTTCAATTCCCAGCACCCACATGGTAGCTCACAACTGTCTGTGACTCCAGTTCCAGAGGACCCGGTACTCATGGCAAAACACCAATGCACATAAAACAAAAATAAATAAATAAAAACAAAGAGTTAAAAGGGTAAATTAACATTTCTCTTTCTGTAGGAGGAAAAGGATTAGTAGATATTCAGCCTCACTGGGTGTCTGCCCTGGCTTGGCCAGAAGAAGGTCCAACTACAGCCTGGTCTGGAGAGTCTCCAGAGTTATTGCTGGTGGGACGGATGGATGGGTCTCTAGGATTGATCGAAGTTGTTGACGTGTCCACTATGCACCGCCGAGAACTGGAACACTGCTATCGAAAGGATGGTAAGAAGTTACACTAGTCAAGAAATTAGACAAATAGACAAAAAGGGTTTTGGTTGAGTATAAATGATGAGTGAATGTTACTTTTGACTTTGTTCTCTAAAATTTCTAGGTATTTGATTTTAATTAGTAATTGAATTGAAATCTATTTCTCTCCCGCCCCTTACTGTATCTCTCTGACAAAGGGAGACTTCACTTTGTTTCTCCATATTAGTCATTCATCCTTTGTGTGAATGATTTAACATTTATAGCAGGATCCAAATATAACTTAAAAGATAGAGCTGTCAAAGGGGAGAAAAATCATTAGTTAAAAACAAGTTGTTAACCACTGAGTAAAATTAAGGAAATAGTGGAAGATGGAGGAGGAAGGTTCCTGGACTCAGCAGAAGAAACAAATTCTGCCTGTTATTTCTTACCGAGTACCTTTGAGTAAGTGCATGGCTTATTAGCAGTTTTTAGTAGTTATTTGGGTAAAGTCCAGTAATTCATAGATCACAGTGCCTATTTGTATGGTATTCTATTTGGCAGGAGAGTTGTTTGTTATGTTTGGGTTTGGGCTTTTTAAAATCCACTTTTAAAATTTTGATAACTTCACAGGCTTCAAAAGCTAGAGAGTTTCGAAAGGCTTAGAAGGAAAATCTTCCCATCTGCTCAGCCTTCCCCATCCCTTCCTCTAGGCACTATTTCCTACTAACCAGCTCACAGCGTACAGAAAAGCAGTGGTGACCAGAGGCTGGGGTAGACAGTCTTGAGAGACTGAGAACACCAATTAGGGCATCCAAAGGAAGCGAGCAGATGGTTTTCTATGGTTTATGCTACTTTACTTCTGTTTTTATAGTAGATTCTTCCCCAAAGAACTGGTACAGTGCCTTAATACCAACCAAATTGTTACTTTCTTTTCTTTCTTTCTTTTTTTTTAACAAAACCTCCTTGAAAAGAATGAAATGTTAACAATGAGGTCATTTCTTTCAGTCATAAATGACATTCTTTAAATTGATTTGTATGGGCTCTAGGCTGTAGGTTCTAACTTGTGAGCTATGTGGAAGTTTTCTTGCTGTGATGATAGTAGCACAGATCTCTTTCAAAGTGTCTAGTTATGTGTCTAGATAATGACAAATTCATCCTTTTATATCTTTTTCATGGTAGTATCTGTCACTTGCATTGCCTGGTTCAGTGAAGACAGACCGTTTGCAGTAGGATATTTTGATGGAAAATTGTTAATGGGAACAAAAGAACCACTTGAGAAAGGAGGCATTGTTCTTATTGATGCACATAAGGTAAAGGCCATCTTCTAGATGGTTGCTTTTCTTGATTCTTCTATTGTAGTTTTGTTTGGTAGTAGTATCTTCAACAATATTTTGCATTGGTTACTATGATTTAATAATCTGTTTTTACACAAAGTCTTTGTGCCATGTGTTCATATGGAAAAATCTGTGTTTAAAAAAAAATCAAGCTACAAAAGAAATGAAACAAAAGAGTAAAATAGGAGTGCCCCAGGAATATCCCCTGCCCAGGGTATCTCCATTAATACCAGGCTTTCCACTAATGAAACCTCAGAGGTTTCCAGTCTGATGTTTACAGGGCCACCCAGTCAGGTGACATACAAGCAAGAAACCAGGAGTTGAGAAGTGTGGAAGGAGGATTATAAAAAAAACACAGAGGGCTAGCGAGATGGTTCAGAGTTTAAGAGCACTGGCTACTCTTCCTGAGGACTCAGGTTCAATTACCAGCATTTAACATGGCAGCTCACAGCCATCTGTAACTCAGTCCCAGGGATTCCTATGCCCTCTCTGGCCTCTGCAGGCACCAATCATGCACATAGAGCACAGACATGCATGCAGGCAAAATACTCATATGCATAAAATAAAATTATAAAAAAATGAAAAGAAAAACAGAAGAGCACAGTGGTCAAGACATATAAACACAAAACATGCCCTAGACTCTCATATGCATTTTCACTAATTTGGGGTGAGGGATTTTTTTTTCTTTCTGTTTTTGGTTCTGTCTTTTCACATTGTAATGATGAGCAGTCAGTATGTACACATGCAAAGGAAAAGTACTGTATGTCTTCAGAGCCAGGTTTTCAAAGTTTATTTATCTTGACATTTATTCACCTTTGACGTAATTGATATATAATGTAGACTGTATTAAAAGGCAAGTTGATTAAGATTAGGAATTATGTAGAAATATCAGATTCATATAAAAATAATTGTGTTATAGACGTATCATCCACAAATAATATAAAATACTTATTGTGAAGCAAGTATTATTCTGATTTTTTTCCCTACCATTTTAAGGAGACTCTTGTTAGTATGAAATGGGACCCAACAGGCCATATTCTTATGACATGTGCCAAAGAAGAAACTGTGAAACTCTGGGGGCCGGTTTCAGGATGCTGGCGCTGTCTGCATTCACTCTGTCATCCATCCACTGTAAATGGTATCGCCTGGTGTAGCCTTCCAGGGAAAGGAGCCAAGTTGCAGTTACTGATGGCCACGTATGTTATAAATCTGTGTGTGTGTTGACTTTTATGGTCGTGTAGACTGTTACTTGGAATAGTATGACTTCTCAGTAATCTCAATTTAGTGTCTGTTACTATTTTTATAATGTGTAACACCATAAAATTACCTAAGAGGGAGCTGGAGAGATGACTCAGTGATTGAGAGTACTTGCTCTTCCAGAGGGACCCGGGTTTAATCCCCAGCACCCACATGACAGCTCACAACTGTCTATAACTACAGTTCTAGGAGATCCAACACCCTCACACAGACATACATGCAGGCAAAACACCAATGCACATTAAAACAAACGAATGAATAAATTTTTTAGAGATTGTCTAAAAGAAGTACAGAGTAGATTTTCAGATTTTCATTTGGTATGTTTTCCTTTGTGATCTTTTTATTAAGTGGCTGTCAGAATGGCTTAGTGTGTGTTTGGCGTATTCCACAAGATACCACACAGACCAGTATGAGTAGCTCAGAAGGATGGTGGGACCAGGAATCAAATTGTCAGGTAATGTGTGGCTGTTTAAGACTTTATCTGAAACTATAGTGCAATAACTCCTCCTCAGTAAGGCATTTACTGCTATACCTGAAGGGCATGAGCCATCAGGGAAATGTAATAACTGTTGTAATTTGTATGCTTTCTCAAGTTCATGTAATTTTTATAAGTCAAGAACACTATCATTACTGGTTGCTGTGAGGTGTTTACTGTGTATTGAGTGGTGATCATGTTGGTGATGAATAAAATGGGTGTTATGGATATACTAGTCCTGAGTGAAGTCAGGTACAGTGGGGTGACACTGTAGGAGTTACCATCCAGGGCATCTCCTACCAATGTCAGAATCCCACCTGCTGAGCCGGGCAGTGGTGGCGCACGCCTTTAATCCCAGCACTCAGGAGGCAGAGGGAGGTGGATCTCTGTGAGTTCAAGGCCAGCCTGGTCTACAAAGTGAGTTCCAGGGAAGGCACAAAACTACACTGAGAAACCCTGTCTCAAAAAACCAAAAAAAAAAAAAAAAAAGAATCCCACCTGCTGAAAGAAGAGTTACAAACTTAGATACTTGCAAAGACATCTAGACAAGTCACATAAACTCATGAATCTGGGAGTTATGAAGAAGAGAAAGCACAGACAAAACCAGGAGGCACGCATGCTTCATCTCAGAGTAGACTTCCTAGACTTTTTCTACTCTCAACCTCTTCACCTAAGAAACTCGTACACAACCCTGTGTGGGTATATCAAGTAGGTGAGCACAGCAAACATTCACCGATAATAAATCATAATGAAATTTATTTTAGATCAATTCTTTGCTATACATCTGATTTTACCATTTATTAAAGAGGAAAGCAAATTTACATACTTATGGGATACATGTGCATGTTTATTTTTACATTAAAGAATTAAGTCTTGGCTGAGGGTTTGATAGTGAAAGTCCTTCCGAGTTGGCCAATTGTTTATTTCATAATTGTCAGTACTGAGAACACGGTTTTGCATCAGTGCATTGTACAGAATGGCAGGTGTATAAATAGAATCATTTCAAAATTGTTGGAAATTCTGTCCTAATTCTGAGCCAAAAGATTTTTTTGAAAAATTAAATTGGTCAGTGACTTAAACAGCAAGTTTTAAAATCAAATACTCAAATTCAGTACAACCCAAAGATATACTAGTTTGATGCTTGCTAATGAATGGTAATCGGAAAATACAAAAAGACTTTGTTTTCTGTAATTAAGCGATTACATTTCTGTAAGAACAGAAAACTTTGTATGTAAAGAAATCACTACAATTCATAGCATGTAATCTCAAATTTTAACCAGGGTGTTTCATGAAGCCTTCGCTGGTGTGTGTTGCACAGGGGACAACATGCGCAGTGCAGGGAGACGCACGTACTCAGAACCACGGCTATAGCAGGGTCTGCAGTGCAAAGGCAGTCACTGTCAGAGACGCCTGGGGTCCGTCCGTACGTGTTTGGTTTCGCATTAATTTTTTGGTCATGATATTTTCAGAAACCTTTTGCTGTTTCCAAATGTTTCAGAGCCTCGGCATTCAGTTACTAGGTGGGCTCTGACCCTGTTTAGTAAATGTTGATATCAAGTGCCCAGCTGATTGCCACTTCTGTAGAATTAAGAGCCTGTTGTTAACAAAGTATCTAATTTTTAAAATAGAAGCCAAACCCCTACTATTAAGTAAAAACTCCAAATAATAAGATACTAATATCGCCATTTTACATTTCTTTAAATACTGAGTGCCTGATTAAACTGAATCTCTGAACTACGAGTTTGCAGCTCCTTTCTGTCTGTGATTCAAACACCCTTTGAGGAAAGAAGCTCCCTTTAGTTGCCTTTGGGTAGATTGGTGCCTCTGGTACTATCCTTAACTAGAATAAAGAGGAAGCAATTGCAGGGAGAAGGGAAGGAGTAGCCAGCTAAATGATAGGAGGGAAGTACCACCCAAAACAGTGTTACAGACAGAACCATCAGCTGACAGTAGGGAAACCTGCTTATGTAGAATGATTACATGTAGTTCACAAGTGATAGGTGAGAAAATAAAAATTACATGAAGTCAAGCTGTTGGTCACAAGCAAAAGTCAAAATTTTCTGTCCCACAGATATTGGAACTTTGAAATATAGTAATTTCTGCTTGTTTAAAGAACAGAAAATTAGCCAGGCGGGGATGGTGCACACCTTTAATTCCAGCACTTAGGAGGCAGACACAGGCAGGTCTTTGAGTTCTAGGCCAGCCTGGTCTACAGAGTGAGTTCCAGGACAGCCAGGGCTACAGAGGGAAACCCTATCTTAAAAAACAAAACAAAACAAAAAAGGACAGAAAATTAGTTTTAAAAAATATAGAAACAAAATTAGGTTGCTGCTTGCTTGTTGCTCATCAAGTTAAGTAACTATGGGAGAAAGTGTCTCTACCTCAATCCCCAGTTTCCTACTACTGACATGTAAAATTTCCAGTCTCAGAATCTCGAACCTGTACGTTATTTGTAACTAATACATATTCAAAACAATTAATTGTAGGATGGCTGTAGGAAATCGGCAGGAGCCAAGTGTGTTTATCAGCTGCGGGGACACATCACTCCTGTTCGGACTGTGGCCTTCAGTTCTGATGGGTTGGCCTTGGTGTCTGGTGGACTTGGAGGGCTTATGAACATTTGGTCTTTAAGGGTAAGAACACAGATTTTTTTTAATGTTAAGATACATTTTATATTATCTTAGATCATATATAATTAAAATTAACTAATCTTAATATTTCATGTAACAGTGTCTTAGGTAATGAAGAAGCTCCTATAGAGATGACTCTTTGTATAAGATAGATGAATCATCTGTAGAACCAATCTCCTGTCCTTTGGTTTTTCTTACTGATAAGTATTTTTAAAATGAAAAGTGGCTATAAAGTGAAAAGTAGGTTAAAAGTCAATGTTGTTGAATTCAGCTCAGTTATAATTTTTTAATGTATATTTTGTGAATATAAAGTAACAGATGTTGTGTCAACAATGCTTAAAGTCAGGAAATGAGCACTGATAAATATATCTCATTTTAGGATGGCTCTGTCTTACAAACTGTTGTGATAGGCTCTGGAGCTATTCAGACCACAGTATGGATTCCAGAAGTTGGGGTAGCTGCCTGCTCAAATAGATCAAAGGTAACCTTCCAGTCCCAGCAAGTCATTGAGTATGAGCCTGGGGAAGTGTTAGAAGTTACAGTCTAAGCCTCTCACTGCCCAGAGGGACAACTGCTACCTGAAAGATTATTGCTTGCCCAAGAGAATGCATCTACTGAATGGTAGAAAGGGGTTAGAATCTGAGGATGCTCATTTCTTATTTAGTTTCTTTCTGATGTACCTGGGCTTTGCCGAAAGTACTTGATTTGATTTTTTTTAAGTTGTTCCATTGGAAAACATAAGTAGATTCTGATTTTCTCACATGAATTTTGACAGCACTAAATATCTCAAAAGAATATTCTGTGGGGAAAAAAATCTCAAAAGCATTTAAGTATCCAAAATATATCATGGCTTTGAAATTTAAGAGGCTAATAAAAGTGGTAGCCACCTGCTGTAAAAAAATTCTGATGTATGGTATTACCCTATAGCAGTGTTCATACTCTCAAAGATTAAAGCCAGTGTGCTGTTTGAGTTACATTTTATGTGCTTAAATAGTGTTAAAAGAAGCTATAATTTCATGTGAATGGTCCTACTAAAAATAAAAATAAAAGCTAATCAAGCCTAGGATGTTTTTAAGATTAGTAATATAGTACGTAGCGTCCTAAGCAGTACAAACAGCCATGGAGTCTACTGCATAGACTAGGGCAGTTCTGGGGCTTTTGCATTGTGTTCCTGAGGAAACAACTATTTTCATTTCTACTATTGTCCCTGTAGTCATGTCAGATTTGTGAAGTGCACTGAATGCCTAGTCTTACAAGTCCTGTGAACTAGCAGATAATTAACATTGTTTTTAAGGAAAAATTGTTAAGGTGGCTTTTTGTTTTGTTTTATTCACTTGTTTTACTTAAAATTAGGATGTTTTAAAGTTTCATAGACTTTTTTTATATATAAAAAGGAAAAGTATTTAATCCAATTACTGGAGAGAATTTCTCAGGTTGATTAATGATGGAATGATTTTTAATCTTTTATTTAAATATATTAATCATATGGCATAATTTATTTTTCTACCAGGATGTTTTGGTTGTGAACTGTACAGCAGAATGGGCTTCTGCCAATCATGTTTTAGCAACCTGTAGGACAGCCCTGAAACAACAGGGTGTTCTAGGGTTAAACATGGCTCCCTGCATGAGAGCATTTCTGGAGCGGCTACCCATGATGCTTCAAGAGCAATATGCTTATGAAAAGGTAACTCATCACCCTAATTCCTATAGTACTTGGTATTCTAGAATTCGGATTCCACCCCACTCATCCCTCCCACAGGGACAGGACATTTGAGGGAAATAATTGCAGCTTAGTGGGACAGAAGTGAAGTCAGTTGTTCAGTAATCTTAAGCCCATTCTTTCTTTATTTTCACCTGAGTAAAATGAAACTATAACCCTCAAATTTGTAGTGTTGATACATTCTTTTTCAGATGATTTATTCACTCCATACCCAGTTAATTTCACTGAAGAATCTGCCTGGATTTAATTTTCATGGTTTCTGTGATAGATTTGCTCTGTCATGATTAAAGACTGCCGTAAAAGAGAATTTGTCTTTGATGACTACCAAGGTTTTCTTGGTAAAGGAAGAAATGTGAGAAGAGCCGAATCTTTTTGATTTACGTATTATATACCTTGTTTATAATCAGGAAAAAATACATACACACACACACACACAAAAAAAAAAAAAAGGGATATGAGTGGCAAAACCAAATAAAGTTCTTGTTTGACTAATATTGTGCCAGCATAAGTTTCTTAGTTTTGATGAATATTGTATGATTATATAAGTTAATTTATACATATTAGAGAAAATTGAGTAAAGACTATGTAGAATTTTCTTTATTAGCTCTATAAGCTTTCATAAGTTTACTCAGAATATCTGACATCGGCTCCTTAACACGTCATTCTTTTTGTTTTTTGTTTTTTCTTAGCCTCATGTGGTTTGTGGCGACCAGCTTGTTCACAGCCCCTACATGCAGTGTCTGGCTTCCCTTGCTGTGGGCCTTCATCTGGATCAGCTGTTGTGTAGTCCTCCAGTGCCACCACACCATCAGAACTGCCTCCCTGACCCTGCATCCTGGAATCCTAATGAGTGGGCCTGGTTAGAATGCTTCTCAACCACAATCAAGGCTGCAGAAGCCCTGACCAATGGAGCACAGTTTCCAGAGTCATTTACTGTCCCAGATCTAGAGCCTGTGCCCGAGGATGAGCTAGTACTCCTCATGGTAAGTGAGGCATGAGCTGCTGTTATTTGTAGTGGAGATTGCACCGTGGCTGCTTTGGTATGCCACAGTTACTTTGCTGGCTTGACTAGCTAGTGGCATGCCCTTATATTAAACGGAATATACTTTTCTGTTGGATGCCTATTCAAGTCTCAGGTGACAGAGCCCTTCTGAATCTGCTGACTCCATACATAGTTCCATACTTTTCTGTTATCTTCATCTGTAGGTGCTTGTCAAGTGCCTTAATCATACACATTTTTAGTTTTCTTCTGGTCACTCTGATATTTATGCCACATAGAGATTCTGATTTACTCCACACTTTAAACATGCTAGTAATCAGCATCAAGTGAGAATACAGAAGAGTGTTTGGTGCCCTTTCTTTTTGACTGTATTTGATAGTGTCTAGCTATAGAAATGATGATAAAGGTAAAATGCTAATATAGGAGGTGCAAGCCAGCACCTGACTTAACCTTAATTAAGGTTTATATATGCAAATATTTGAACATAAAAATGTAAATACAACAACAAATAACTGAATTGAGGAAAATTATCTGAATATATCATTTTTTAATCAAGAAATGTCTTCCATATTGTTGTGGATGTTATACTCAGTGCACCTGCCTGACATGTACAGGGCCCTGAGTTCAGCAGCAGCACCACATACATACAGATGATAGACAAGAGAGGAGTGGAATAGAATAGAATAGAATAGAATAGAATAGAATAGAATAGAATAGAATAGAATAGAATAGAATAGAATAGAATAGAATAGAATAGAATAGAATAGAACAGAGTATAACAGGTGTTTTTGAACACCATTTGGCCCTAATATCATCTTATAGATATGGAAACTATAGCCCAAATCGATGACGAGACTTACCCACTAGACCAGACAAAGAATCTAGGGAGGCTGTAGGTTTTGTACATGGTTTGCCCTCATAGGTGCTCTTAAACAGATCTTTTTTTATTTATTTTAGTTTATGTGTATTCGTGTTTTGCCATGGGTATCGGGTCCCCTGCAGTTGGAGTTCCAGACAGTTGTGTGTAACACAAATTGTTAAAATGGTTTTTTAATTAAAACAAAACAAAAACAAAAAAACCCGGGACCAGATATTGGGGTAAATGCTGAAAGATCAGAGAGACAAAGGAATAAGCCACAGCCACCTCTTACCTTACCAACTCCTCAGTTTAAAAAAGCCTCAGCCGATAGGCCTCTAGCAGAAAGGGGTCCCTCAGCCAAAAAGCTTCAGTTCCTGTCTCCTCTGCCTTATATACCTTTCTCCGCCCAGCCATTAAAAAGGTGTGTGTGCTTCCCAAGTACTGGGATTAAAGGTGTGTGCCACTATTGCCAGGCTCTGTTTCTCTCCTAGACTGAGTCAATCTCATGTAGTCCAGGGTGGCTTTGAACTCAGAGATCCAGGGTGGATCTCTACCTCCTGAATGCTAGGATTAAAGATGTGTGCCACCACTGTCTGGCCTCTATGTTTAATCTAGTGGCTTGTTCAGTTCTCTGATCTTCAGGCATTTTATTAGGGTACACAATATATTACCACAGTTGTGAGCTGCCATATAGATACTAGGAATTGAACCCAGGTCCTCTGGAAGAGCAGCCAGTACTCTTAACCCCTGAGCCATCTCTCCAGCCCCAAATGGTTTTAGCACTGAATCAAGGCTACAATGATAGTGAAAACATGTATAATAAAAGTAAATATTAGAAGGCAAAGTGCAAGTTTGAAACTACTGTGACATTGGAGTTGCCGGATGGGGTGGCATATGCCTATAGCCCCAATTTCTTAGGAGGAAGAAGCAAGAGAATTTTGAGACCAAGAGTTTGAAGCCAGCTTACCTGAGCAACATAGCAAGACCCTGTTTTCTTAAAAACAAAATAAGAACAACTATTCTTGACTTGTCCTAATATCACCATGTTCTTTAGAAAGGAAGCTTTATCTGTAGTCAGGAGCAGATTAAATCCTGACAAAGCATCGTTGATTGTGATGTGTGCTCTGTCTTGCAGGATAACAGCAAGTGGATCAATGGCATGGATGAACAAATTATGTCTTGGGCAACTTCCAGGCCTGAGGTCAGTAAAGATAAGATTACTATGTGGTGGGTTTCAGTCAGTCTTTTGATTGTAAATGCATATATCTGTGTCCTTCTGTTTCCTGTAGTGGTTGGCACATGCTTGTGCTCAGTATGTATTTGTTTGAGCAACTGGATGATCCTAACTTTAGGTGCCTGTGGGTTTTCTAGGACTGGCACCTGGGAGGTAAATGTGATGTCTACTTATGGGGTGCTGGCAGGCATGGACAGCTGGCCGAAGCGGGAAGAAATGTAATGGTACCAGCCACTGCTCCTTCATTCTCACAGGCCCAACAGGTAACTAGCAGAGTAAAGACTAGGGAAGAAATGTGGGAATTCCAAATGCTGTCTGGAACTTACTTTGGGTTGAAGCTTGTCAGTTTCATAGTCATTGTGGTGAATCATTAAAGAACCTCGTTTTATCTGTGGCCTCCAAATGAAAGCTTGCTAAGGTTTTATTGTACTCAAGACATTTTAAGAAGTTTCTAAATTGTTCTTGCCTCCAAGTATAGTGAATTAATATCACAATGTATTAGGCCAATGCAGTGTATATTTGTGGAAGCTGAGCTAATCTAATCACTGTTCTCTTTGGGAACCTAGAACTACCTAGAACTACCTAGAACCTTTAGCCAGACTTTATTGGTACTCCTCTCTCCATCTAATAGTCCGGGCACTGTGTTCCCAAACTGTCCTTGAGGCCGTTCATTTCACTTCAGCTCTCCTACTTACGCTGCCGTAGAAGCCACTTTTCTTCCCTGTTGTGGTCCTCGCCAGTTTCTGCCTCTTTCTGCACCCACCTTCCCTCCTGCTTCTCTTACCTGTGCTGTTTAGCTGTGCAACACACTTTAGTTTAGTTAGCTGAACTCTCATAACTTATCTCAGATGGGCCTCCGATGGGCCTTGATTGTTATCAGAATTATAATAATCGAAGGTTTTAGGGAAGCCACAGGTAAGCCAGTTTTGGTGCAAAGGAGAAAAGAACTGGTAGAGATATCCTCGGATACATGGATCACCTACAATGTCTGAAGCTAGAGATTAACAGTGAGGGTAACGGGGAGGTAAGGTTTATTTTAGATAATTTCATGCTTGTACACTGTGTATCTTGATCATATTCGACCCAAATAAAGACAATGTTTTTTATCCTGTGTTTTATACTAGGTTATATGTGGTCAGAACTGTACCTTTGTCATCCAGGCCAATGGCACAGTGTTGGCCTGTGGGGAAGGAAGCTATGGCAGATTAGGGCAAGGAAATTCAGATGACCTTCATGTACTGACTGTTATTTCAGCCCTGCAAGGTGAGGCTACCTTGACTTTAAAATGGTTAGAAACTGTGACCTGACTATGTGCATCTACTGGAACTCTTGTCAACTTGGCGAACCCGTGGGGTTTGCTTATGTTTGGATTCTAGTTAGGGAACGCATACAGCCTAAGTTTCCACATCTGAAGCTGTTTCATAAGTAGGAATGCTAGAATCCAGCAGCAGGTATGTATTTGAGACCCAAGGAAAAGGAATTGTTTTAAAATTGCAAACAGTTCTTTAAAATTGTTAAACTGTGACTAGGGAGTCATGTGTGTGTTTCATTAACATAAAAACCAGTCCACATGAAAATCTCCAGCTGTGCTAGAGAGTTTAAAGGGCATTTCTGGCAAAGCTCTGTGTGACTTGAGAAAGAATGCCTTAAGAAAAGCAGCTACAGGGTCTCATGGATCCCAAAGCTTACAATAAGGAATCTCCTTTGAACATGTGACATGATGTCATCTGCAAATGTGTTAGGCTGTATCCGTAGCCATCTTAGGATGTATTTGGCCCACAGGCTGTAGAGTGAGCATGTCTGTTCCATGGAGAACACAGAGGACTCTAAGAAAATGCTTCTACTTAAGACATACCAGTGAGTTGACAGGAACTTCCTACAGACCTGGATGGTAGAGTGCTGCAGTGTAGATAGAAACACAGGCTGGGTTCCTACCCATTCTTTCCTGTCCCTGGCTCTCCATAACCACTACACTACTTTGCAACTCAGTCTCTGCAACTATAGAAAATGGGGTGTTGTTGTCTGTGCCCTAGATCTCTGTGGAAGGAGAAATGAGACAGTCCTTTGAAAGTGTTTATAGGAGTGGCTAGAATATCATCACCCTTAGTGGCTGTAACCGCTGTTCTTACCTCCCTCATCTTCATTAGTTTGTGTGACTGCTCCCAGTTTTGCCAGGTTGTGTCTGTAAATTTGATTTAAAGATTTAAAAAGTTTGTTATTCACAGTACTATTTCACATGTTAGGGCATTCTATAGCAGCTTCAAGAATAATGTTTTACCATTTAACACCTCTTATATTTCTGTTATCTTCTAGGCTTTGTGGTGACTCAGCTGGTGACTTCCTGTGGCTCTGATGGGCACTCAATGGCCCTGACAGAAAGTGGTGAAGTCTTCAGCTGGGGAGACGGAGACTACGGCAAACTTGGCCATGGGAACAGTGACAGGCAACGGCGGCCAAGGCAGATCGAGGCCTTACAAGGAGAAGAAGTGGTACAGGTCAGGCCTGGCGTGGATACGTTTGCCTTTGAATGTAGATACGGAGTTGTTAAATAGCATTCTGAAGTTCAGCTAGGAGAAATAAGTATAAAAACAGATTCTGTGAGAGGTATAAGAGATCCACTGTTTTTGGTTATGCAGGCTCGTTATTGAGCTTTTCAGGAATTAAATAGATTTTAATGTTAGAATGTACTTAACTTTTCCAAGCCATCTAACTTGGTCCAGGATACAATGCTGCAAGGGTCTTGGAAAAAACACCACAGGATTAGGTCCTACCTTACAGTTCTTGGTAGGTAGAGGGGGAGCCTTATTTAACCCCATCCTTTTTGTTGCAAAAGGGATGCGCGTGTCTGTCATCTTATATCAGCTGGTGATATAAGATAATGTTGAAAAACTACATAACACCCCGGGGTTTACTATAAACTTTTCCACTCATCATCTCCTTTAGACTAGGTCAGTGTACACAGCCACAGGATTGACAGTTATTCCAGGGACTCCTTGGTTTTCCTGAACCTGCTGAGGCAGACCAGAAGGGTTGTGTAGGCAGGTGGACGGCCTGATCTTCACTTGTATGCCAAATGCACTGCTACATTCATAACTGAAACTGACTGGCTTCTTTCCTAAACTCTCTTCTTACAAACCTTTTTCTCCTTGGTTCTGTCCTAGATGTCTTGTGGCTTCAAGCATTCAGCAGTAGTAACATCAGATGGCAAACTCTTCACTTTTGGGAATGGTGACTATGGTCGTCTGGGTCTTGGAAACACCTCTAACAAAAAACTTCCAGAGAGAGTGACTGCGCTGGAGGGATATCAGATTGGACAGGCATGGCATAAGTCAATACAGTGCTCTAGTGATAGTAATTTTCTTACCTCTTCTGTCTGCACTTAGATATTTCCTGTTTGAAAGACCAGAATCCCTAGTTGCATTTAAGGTCTGTACATTTTGTGTGACATATTTTATAATTTTTTTATGATTTTTTTTCTCAATGTGAAAAATTCACAGTTTTTGGCTCCTAATTTTTGGATGTGACTGCTTAAAAAACACTGCCCATAAAGTACTACTACAACTTGCTATAAAGTCTTTTAAAAAGCTGGGTGTGATAACACACACCTGTGATGCCAGCATTTGAAAAGCTGAAACAGGAGGATGAAGAGTTCAAGCAAAGCTGAGGTTATGTGTCATAACTCATCTCAAACAAGCAAACAGCAGCAGCAGCAACAACAACAAAACTGCCTTTACACAGTGCTGTTTGGTTGTTGCTCCTGTGTGGCAGCATTGAGTTGGATGGCTGAATTTTCCCTCTGTGCATAAACACACTGAAAGTGTCTCTCGATCGTGGGTAAGATGTCTTGACTTTTCCTGTGTCGTTGCTGAGACAGCCTCTGGAGTCAGGGAATATTTCTGAGTTACATGTACCTTTTTTTTTTTTTTTTTTTTTTTTTTGAGACAGGGTTTCTCTGTGTTACAGTCCTGGCTGTCCTGGAACTCACTCTGTAGCCCAGGCTGGCCTCAAACTCACAGAAATCCACCTGCCTCTGCCTCCTGAGTGCTGGAATTAAAGGTGTGCACCACTGCTTGGTTATGTGTACTTTTTCCCCTGCCTTTTGTACTTTTATGTTTTTAGTTAGCTACAGATGCTTGAAGGATTTTACTTTGAAGAAAAGCATTCTTTAAGTATCTTGGGAATTCTGGTTAATGTGTTTGGCTTAACATTTGGATCAGTTACCAAAACTAGTAAGAATCTTGGAAAACAACACATGAAATTTTCAGTCAAGAAGAAAAAGTTCTGGAAGCAGAGTTTGTGTTCAGGCAAGATGATCTGCTCACTGAATACCCTGCTGTTTCTCCAGGTGGCCTGTGGGCTGAACCACACCTTGGCAGTGTCAGCCGATGGCTCCATGGTGTGGGCATTTGGAGATGGAGACTATGGAAAACTGGGCTTAGGAAATTCCACTGCAAAATCCTCCCCGCAGGTCAGTTACTGCCTTGAACCTCAGTTTGAATACAATAGTAATTAGATTCCACTTTTATCAGCACCTCTTGTAAATTGGAAATGCTTTAGCTTGAAGATTTTGTAATTTGTAATGAGTGTTTAAGGCCTTCAGTTGCTTATTCTCAAATGTCCAACATTCTAGATCTTGACTTTTAAATAAGCCATTACTAAAGTGCAATGGATGTAAACATTCTGCAAGGATAAGTCTCTGTCTCTGCAGACAGGCTGAGTGCTGAGTGACTCTGTCCCATATAAAGGGGAAACCAGACTGCCAGGGTCCTTAGGGAGAGATCCATGGGCAGATTTTACAGCTCTGCCTGCAGTTACTGTGTCAGCTTTTTACCACTGAATTGTGCATCTTTCAAAACAACATATATACACATATATATAAGAAATGAGTGCATAGAAAATAAACTAGGAACAGTTATGCTCATTAGGTTTCTTGGTTCTGCAGACCTGTGCAGCTTTGTTATGTGGGCTTTCCTTACATATTTAATAAAGCATCATGACATGATTTCCAACTTTGTTTTCAAGTTCAGTTTGCTATCATATATAGCCTGTGACATGTTAATAGTTGCTTTGAAGAATGTTCAAATAGGGATGCAGAGAAGCAGAAAACTTCCTTTCTGGGGAATGTAGAGGCAGCCTTTATCACCTGGGAAAAGTAAAAGGAAAGCAAACTGACAGGTAGCTGCGTGTGGTCTCTCAGGATCTTGCAGTGTTCTTTAAAAGGTCGTGGTTTTCTTTGGTTTCTGTTCCTCAGTGGAATGCTTCAACTTTACGTGAGTCCCTAAGAATGGTAGCCACACTTCCCAGCCTCTGCACACTTTCTCCCACACACTCAGTTACCACCTAGAGCAGTAGCAGAAAATAATCTTTAGGAATATGGCTCAGGTAAAACAAGTCAGTGACAGTTGGCCTTTTTATTGGAGACCTACTAGATGTTGTAAATGCCAGTAGGAAAACCCATGTTTTTTTGTTTTGTTTTGTTCTTCCTTCTGAGCACATGCCTTGTACTTTTATTTCACAGAAAGTTGATATCCTTTGCGGAATTGGAATTAAAAAGGTTGCTTGTGGAACTCAGTTCTCTGTGGCTTTGACCAAGGATGGTCATGTGTATACTTTTGGTCAAGGTAAGGTATCTTTTAGCCTACGTTGTCTTCTATACATGTACATTATAGAAACATTTGCCTTCTGGGTTTGTAGTGTCTGGGTGGTGTTTACCTTGTGACCCTTGTTCCTTTGCTCCTTTCTGCTCCTATTTGATGAATTTTGTTTCAAGGACAAACTCCCTCCACTGGAGCTCATGTGAGAGCCTTCACTCTTGCTAGAGGATTCCCTGCCGAGAGCTCCTCCTCCTCCTTTCTGCTGCTGTCAGTCTAGAGGCTGAGCGGTGGGTGAGGATGGGGTGAGAGAGGAGGAAGTAAACCGGGACTGTTTCTAGTCTTGGGAGAACACGGAGTCCTCTGTGAGGCTCGAGCTTTCTTAGGGAAGGAACTTAGTCCTTGTTTTAGCTCACTGTGTCATCAGGGTGGTACATCGCCTCACAGAATGGGAGAAAGATGGTTCTGTTTCCTGGTTTCAGAGTTTCAGTCTGTAGTTCTGTGGTTTTCTTGGGAAAAGAGAATGGAGGAACAAAGCTGTTCACCTCAAGGTAGATATGAGGCGGAGAGAGGGGCGGGGGAAACAGCTGGGGGACAAGATACATCCTTCAAACACACTCCTCCAGGCTGGCAAGATAGCTGCATGTGTAAAAAAAAGCACTTGCTGAAAAAAAGAAATGATTGTCCTCTGACCTTTACATACATAGTATGGCATGTGTGTGTGCACACAGGAGGAGGAAGAGAGAAGCAGCAGCAGCAGCAGATAAGGGGCTGAGAAGATGGCTCAACAGCTAATAGCACTTGCTGCTGTTGTAAAAGGCCTGACTTTGGTTCCAAGAACGTCCATCACGTGGGCCACAACCATCTCTAACTCTAATTCCAGGGGATTCAACACCCTCTAGTCTCCATGGGCACTAGGCATGCATGCAGACACTCACACATATACATAAAATAAAAATAAATATTTTACTTGAATAAATAAATGTTAGAAGAAGAAAGATATGCCTTCTGTAACCACTTCTTCCAACCAGGTCCCACCTCTTCGTAATCATTCAGCTGTGGAAGAATCATTAATGAAGTTAGCATCCTCTCAATAGCACTATTGGTATAAGACCACAGCTTCAACACACATGAACCTTTGGGACCACTTTATATTCAAATCATAACGCCATATGGGACCTTCTCTTCTAGATATACGTGTGAAGATATCCAACAGTCTATTGGGAATTTGTATCTGGGACTCCAGAGAGATTGGGTATACAGATCTAGGTTAGGATATTGATTACATAGGGTAGTAGGTACAACTTTAGTCTAGGATTTAAGAAGCCTGGGAGAAGATGTAGAGTGAAGTCTAGAGTAGAATTCTAGGGAATGTTGGGGCAGTTGGTTTTGAATAGCAAATTGGTGAGTCTAGTGAAGAGTCTCTGGGGACAGGGGAACTCCAGCCGTACGTACTATCAGATAGTCATGTGTCATTCCATGGGCCAGAGTCTGAGAGAGCACTGCAGCAAGCAGGCAGGAGCCAACGTACGGTTTAGAGGAACAGCTTTAGCGCAGCTCTGTGAGTGGAAATCAGATGGCAGATGCCATGCCTAATGGCCCTACGGGATGGTGAGCAGCAGGGGTTGAGGGGGTAGAAATTTGAGGCTAAAACTCATCTAATGGCATCTTTTTTAAGAACACAAGAAACTTGAAGGCCTTGTTGAACATGTGCCAGAGTATTGAAAAGTCTCTTGGCTTGAAATACTGACTGTAGTTTTAATTTTCTTTATAAATAAAAAGACTAACATTTCATACAGGAATACCTCAACCTTTTTACTTAAAGTGGTATATTTTGCTGGCATAGCACGTTTTTGCTCGAATGAGTAATATACATCCTTGACATTCTTAACACAAAGAATTAATGACCTATTAAAAAACGCAGACTTCAGGGTGCCATCGTAAACTTCCTCTTGCTATCTTTCAGACCGCTTGATAGGCTTGCCTGAGGGGCGTGCCCGTAATCACAATCGACCCCAGCAAATCCCTGTCCTAGCTGGAGTGGTCATTGAAGACGTGGCAGTAGGAGCTGAACACACACTTGCTTTGGCATCAACTGGAGATGTTTATGCCTGGGGGAGCAATTCAGAAGGGCAGGTAAAGGCCATGTTTGCTGCTCTTTCGTGCCTTAGAAATCTGACACTGTTGCTTATTTGCAAGGATACCTTTATAGTTTATAGTAATTGTGTCCAGAGAATCCTTTGCTTGTGCCATCCCCAGTAGTCACAGGAGTAAATGCAGGAATAGAAATGAAGAGAATATGAAGAGTCTGCAGGTTTGTGTGCTTGGTCCCTCTGTGTGTCTGTGTATGGAGAGAGGCTTTGCTAGGAGATGTCTGAGATAGATGCTTCTACTGAGGTTTTCAGCCATCTTTGCCTCCTCCCATAAATCTCAGATCTGATTGCACATAGAATCAGAGACCCTGATATTCAAGGTCTGTTATTCACAGTAACCTTAGTGAGCATTTATATTCTCATAACTGTATTAGCAGACCAGGAAGTTGCTCATCTTTGTGGTTGCTGTGGTCTTGATGAGAGAATTAATGGTGAAGAGACTTTTGGGAATTCCCTCACTAGGCGTTGACAAGATCTTCCCCACTGATGTTGAACACTTAGCTGCTGCTGCTAAAAACAGAGGCCTGGAGTCCATGTATATTTGATATCTGTACTGTAACCCAGAAGCCAGTGTGTTTTAAGTAAGAGTTCTATAGATCCTTCTGTTCTCACTTTCCAAGAAGAACTCCTACCCTTTCCAGAAGTGGAATGCAAGAGTGACCAGTTGTTAAGACTAATCTGTAAGTTTGGACTGGCTCTGTCGCCTCTTGTTTTTAGAAGACAGTGTAAGCTGTTAGAACTCTGTGATAGAGAAACAAATCAGAATTTATTTCATTATTGATGTTGGTGTATGACACAGACGTTAACAGATTATATCTGCTTGACTTCTGTCTCTTCAATCTCGTGCATTTGTTTTTTATTCTTAGCTTGGCCTAGGCCACACCAACCATGTTCGAGAACCAACCCTGATAACAGTTCTGCAAGGGAAAAACATCCGTCAGATCTCAGCTGGCCGTTGTCACAGTGCCGCATGGACAGCACCACCTGTTCCACCAAGAGCACCAGGTGAGAGGCAGACCGTTTGCACTCCTCCAGCTGCTCTTTCAGTGCCTGATGTACTGTCTGCTTATAGTTCTGAGGGCACCCAGCATCTGTCTGAAACTGTCAAGGCTTCTGGAGTATTCTATTCTCTGTGCTACAAGCACATAAATATTTCCTATGAATCATTTCCTCTGCAGACTTCAGTGTCTAGCAAAGACTCCTGTGCTCTCTCCTCTCTCTCCAGTCCCAAAAGAAATCAGCATGTGTTTTAGGCAAGCAAAATTTAATTAGGTTAGAGCATCTAAAAGTATATTTTCATATAGATAAAAAGATAGCAAATGAAATGGGCCATAATGACCCAGCTTTAATCCCAGCACTTAGACAGAGGCAGGAGGATCTGTTTGAATTCCAGGCCAGCCTGCTCTACACACATAGTGAGTTCCTGGATAGCCAGGGCTGGTAGGGAAAACCTGTTGCAAAACAAAGACAACAAAAAGGTGACAGTTGCTGTGTAAGGCTTACTGTTACAAAGATGAAAATCTCTGGCTTCAGTAGCCTTTGATACAAAGTGTCTGGTCAGTGGCTCCATCCAAATCCAGTTGCTGCTTGCCGTTTTATTCCAGTGTGGAGTATGAATAGTAGCTGCTTCTTGCTTTAAAATTTTTTTTAAATACTACAAAATTATTGTAGGCATTACAAAAAAAAAAAAAAAAGACTTGAAAATATAAGGCAGGGCATAGGGAGACAGCTTATTCAGTAAGTTACCACACAATCATAATGACCAGTGTGGGAGCTCCAACAGCCACAGAAAGAAGCCAGGCATGTTGGCCCGGGTTTGTAATCTCAGTGCTGCTGAGGCAAAGACAGGCAAACCCTGGTGGGGCTCACTGGCCCCCTAGCCTGGCCTGATCAGCAAGCTCAGGCCAATGGAAGAAGACCCTGTCTCCAAAAACAAGGCGGATGGTCATCCTGAGGAATGACCTCTGATTTACTCATACATACACAACGCTAACACATATGCATAATTGTCTCCTTTAGTAAGGACCCTCCGATAGGCTGTGTCTTCCATTTCCCTCAATGTAGCATTACTTTAATTGTGTCATTCTTCTATAGTTCCCATATTTGTGATACTGCTCATCCAAGCCCTAAAGCACTTCTTCTTGCTGGCTTCTGGTGTCTGAGGTATCATAATTTCTGAAGCCATGTGTGACTGGGTCCTTAGAGTCCCTTCTGGTTTTGTTCACCTCCCTACTTCCCCAGCAAGTCTTGGGGAATACTCTTCAGAGAGATGTTTTTTCTTAAGGACTAGCAGTCACATAGATCCCCAGCAAGCAGAAGAGGAATACCTGGTCCTCATTTGCACCATGCATTAATATGAGATTGACAATCATTGAATAGGAAAGGAAGAATCCACCCCACCCCCCCAACCCCAATTGTTTTAGTCCCTTTATTCAAACAGAAACAGTTAAAGGAGAAAAAACTAGGTTTCCTCTGGGTTTTTTTTTTGTTGTTGTTTGGGGCTTTTTTGTTTTATTTTAATTTTGTGTGTATTTGTTTTGTTTCATTGTTTTGGGTTTTTGAGATGGTCTCATGCAGCCCAGGCTAGCCTTGAACTTGCCATACTGCTGAGGATGACCTTGAACTCGTGTTGGAATTATAGGCCTATCCTACCATGCTTGGCTTATGATATTTGAAGTTTTAAGGATCAATACTGTCCTAGTCAATGTTCTCTTGCTTAAAAAGACACCAAGACCATGGCATGTCTTATAAAAGAGAACATTGAATTGGGGCTGGCTTACAGTTGCAGAGGTTTAGTCCATTCTCATGGTAGAATACAGGCAGACTTGGTGTTAGAGAAGTAGCTGAGAGTTCTACAGGCAATAAAAAGAGAGACTCTGGCCTTGGCATGTGCTTTCTGAGACCTTAAAGCCCACTTCCAGCGCCATGCTTCTCCAACAAGGCCACACCCACAAATCGTTTCCGATAGTATCACTCCTTGGTGCCCAAGTATTCTCATTCAAACCACCACAAGTACTAAAGCATCCAAAAAAATTAAGATGAGTTAATGGGTAGAGGAATAGATATCTATGTAGAACAGTAAATACAGCAAAATATTAAGTAGAGAACGTAGGTAGTGAGATTGTGTGTCCATTGAGGGATTATCTTGTTTGAAAGTTTTCAAAATACTTCAGATGGAAGCAATGCATTTTCCTTCACAAGAGCTTCTGTGCTTGGGCAGGTGTGTCAGTGCCTCTCCAGCTGGGCCTGCCTGACACAGTGCCCCCGCAGTACGGGGCACTGAGAGAGGTGAGCATCCACACTGTGCGGGCCAGGCTCCGGCTGCTCTACCACTTCTCTGACCTCATGTACTCATCGTGGAGGCTGCTGAATCTCAGCCCCAACAACCAGGTAAAGTGCTGGAGTGGGAAGTGGTACCCAGGGTATGTTTGCAAGGTCCCGGGCCTTTCTGCCTTTGCACAGTTCTCTCATGGCTAATGTGTTAGCTCTGTGACTCAAGAAGGACGGGGAAGTCAGCAGTTGGAATTCCATTTTATTGCTGACGTGGAGACAAGTGGCTGAACAGAAAGTGTTTTGATTTGTCTAAAATTGGAGGAAGCATGAGTGACTGAGCATGTCATAGCTCCTGCCAAGTCTAATACGTAATGTTAAGTGGCCGGTGTGTGGCCAAATGGCAGGGTATTTTCCTAGCCTATACGAGACACCTGGCTTCCATCCTAGCCCTGGAAAAAGAAAGAGGGAAAACATCTAAGTACATCTAAGTGCTAAAACATCTAAGTGCTGCTAGGACCATAGTACACAGTGGTAAAGAATCAAGTCAGCTGAGAAGTTCAGGAGACTTCTTTCTCCTCATAAAGAGCATTCTCAATCTTGTAAAGGGAAATTAGGGAAAATGAAGTAAATTTGGCTGGTTTGTATGTCTTTATAGACTAGACCCACAGATTAAGAAATAACTAGGTTAGTTAATAAGTAAGCATGTCTGCCAAAATAAAACTCTCAGTCAGAATCCTTTGGATCAACAGTCATGAGAGAAAGGAAAAGACTTGATGTCTTTTTACAAGTAGGCAACAGCCAGGCAGGAGGATGGTCTGTTGCACTAGAGTGTCAGTGAGCTGGTTCTAGTTAAGTGAGAAGTCTGATAAGAAGCCATGTGAGGAAAGTGGCTGAGAATATCTGAACAGTACGTTTTCACATTGTTGAGAATTTGTGTGTGCACACGCAGACTGAAAGGCAATGCAGGGTGTTGGTGGGGTTATCTCTGTGTGGATGAATGATGGATGATTTTATACCATGTCTGGATTTCTACTTTTCTGTATTTTCTAAGGCTTTAAAAATGGTAGTCATATTTTATCAGTATTTTTTTAAGTTACTAATTTCAACTGAGACTCAGATCTATGCTTTTAAAGGACATTTTAGAAAGAAATGCTATTTACAAGTACTATTCTCTTAAGTCTGATAGTATGCCATCTCTGATCTCCTTATGTTGTCTACAGAACAGCACATCTCATTACAATGCTGGAACGTGGGGCATTGTGCAGGGCCAACTGCGACCTCTGTTAGCTCCAAGAGTCTACACGCTCCCCATGGTACGCTCCATAGGGAAAACCATGGTTCAAGGCAAAAATTACGGGCCTCAGATTACTGTCAAGAGAATATCAACCAGGTAGGTCATGTGTGTTTCTCTAGCCAGCTAGAGTTGTTTAGAATATTACTGCCCCGCATCTGTGTGCCCCGTATCTGTGTGCCCTAGCTTCCTCACTTAGAAAGGGTAGGGATAGCGCTCACTCTAGTCTCCGTGTCTGTCCACTGATGGAAAGACACCACCAAGGACCTTTGTGGTGATCTGTGGAGGTGAAGAGTTATGTTATATTACTCTTTTGCTGTTTTATTTCTTTTTTCTTTTTAGAGGTCGGAAGTGTAAGCCCATCTTTGTTCAAATAGCAAGACAAGTGGTAAAGCTAAATGCATCAGACCTCCGTCTACCCTCCCGAGCATGGAAGGTTAAGCTGGTTGGAGAAGGGGCTGATGATGCTGGAGGAGTATTTGATGACACCATCACAGAGATGTGCCAGGTACCTGCATGAGGTGTCCCTACTGCGGTCTGCTAGTGGTCCTTGAGTGTTGCCAGTATAGCATGGGTGCATCTGAGTCTTCAGCTGCACTGCTAGTGCTGTGTAGTGAATGGCAGTGAGTTCGGGAAATGTTTGTGGAGATCACTTAGCACATCAAGATCACTGACTCACCCATCCACCATCTGTTATGCCGTAGTAGAAGATACAGTAGTGACACATGAATACATTTTAGGAGACAGATCCAAGACCACTGTGTGATTTATTTTGGTGCTTCTACAACAAAGCGGATCCACCAAGCTCCAGAAGAATAGAAAAAAGAGTGTTAAAGAGTTTAAACTGGGACCGGAGAGTTAATTGCAGTGATTACAAGCACTTAGTGCTCTTCTAGAGTATGCAGGTTAGGTTCTCAGTGCCCACTCTCAGCTCCGGAGAGTTTAGCGCCCTCTTCTGGTCTCTGAGGATACTGCTTGTATTCGATGCACAGACGAAACACCCATACAAATAAACACAGTTTTTGAAATTGAAACAGTAATTTTTAGTTTGGACCAGTTCTGATTTTATAAGCCACACTGGCAGACTGCTGCTTCAGGATTAGTACTGTTCCTTTCACTTTGCCTGATAAACCCTGTGGCTTGAGTGACACTCAGCTGTCACTGTTGAGTCAGTTTGACATTTCACCACACCCTGCTCAGAGCTGTACAGCTGCTCACTGGTGGTCTTGCTCATGCCGCTTCTTCATTCACAGGTGATTTCTCACATAAGGACTTCATAATTTCTCTTTAAGTTTGGAATCACAAAAATAACTAGACTATAGAGATTGCTAAAGCATAGCATTTAAATTCCTCAAAATATCCCCTTTCCAGTATTATCTTTAATGTATTTGGTTTATGCATTTGATTGTCATTTCTCAACAAAGCACTTTGTTCTCCTGCAGGAACTTGAAACTGGTGTCGTTGACCTTCTCATCCCGTCTCCTAATGCTACTGCAGAAGTTGGTTACAATAGGGACCGGTAAGATAGGCATGCTTCTCGAATGTCTTAATAATGACAGTCACCTACTGAGTGCTTCCTGCGCACCAGGCACTGTTCCCACTGAGTCCTCACTGTAACCCTGAAGCAGTGCACCCGTCATGCCCCTGCCGTGGTGAGAAACAGACACTGCCATCCTCACTCAGTACTGAGGAACAGATTGATGGTAATACAGAGGGAAGAACTTATGAACCCTGGCTGCCATATGTTTCTTCAGGCTTTACCATGCATGGTTCATTTAGATTCTGCTAATGCCATGTCATAGAGCTGGTTGTTCACAATTCACTAGTGCCCGTGTATTTGTAATTTTTTTAATTTTTTCATCTTGCTCTAAAGACTTAGAAGTTATAAGTGAAGCAGCCGGGCGGTGGTGGCGCACGCCTTTAATCCCAGCACTCGGGAGGCAGAGCCAGGCGGATCTCTGTGAGTTCGAGGCCAGCCTGGGCTACCAA